TCCTTTGGGGTTTGCTAAGGCAGATAGAGCCTAGAGTAGGTGTTAATTAGAGATAGGTAAGGGTAGTGACAAGAGGAAGAATGGAACAAACAAGAGAGAGGGAGGGAAACGATGCTTAGAAAAAGAAGACGAGAAAGACGAGAGCGATGACGGCCACTTGGGATCGACAGATGCAAGCGGAGGGCCAAGTGGGGAAAAAAACACACACACAAAAATCATTTACTATACATCTACATTTGCCAGGATCACACTCTGCACTGAGTAACCATGCATTCATTCATTCAGCTTTAGTGAGTTGTTTTTTTCCATCAAAGGTGAAGCAACAAAAGGTCTTTACGGTTCTTTACCTCTCCGTCTCAAGGGTACCTGGGTAAATGTCATTCAGTTAGATCAAACGCACACCTGTCGACATTGTTTTTCGCACTTCAATCTGGAGGAGTGCTGAGCTGATGCAGTGCATCAACAACAAACTCAAGGGCAGGAAATTAACCTTTTTTTATGTCCACTGGCTGCTGTTGCTCATTTATTCCCGAGCTTATCTGCTACTTCAACATTTCACTGCTTTGATTGATTTTCTAAATGGAACAGAAAGCCAAGATGATAGAGGTTTAGTCAGCCAGACAGTTACCATTATCTTTGTATAAACATTTATTCATGTAGACATGAACATATATCAGTTTAATCTCTGAATGGATGCTGTTAAAATTGTTAGAGCCAACACAGATTCTTCTTCTAGGTCACCATATGTCAGTGCGTACCTTTGGGATGAATGGCACGCTAAAGTGTTTTTTCACTGGCATGTGGCCTCCAAGAAGTATCAGCTTTCACTGATACAGCGTATAGCTGTTTTCTGCATTTCAAGACATTGTAAATAATCTTTAAGGATGAAAACTACAGTTTCCTTATTCATTTAGCAGGGTAGCCATGGGGTTTTAAGTGCAGTTTAACACATAAGTCAGCAGTTCGTGAACAGTGTTGTCACTCAACAGTAATTTTATAGCTTTGATACTATATTTTCAGAGCATTTTCATTCCATGGGGGAAATTTATTTCCTTATCTATGAGCATTCTGCCTTCATTCTGATTTCAACTGCACACCTGTGAAGTTTCCCGACTGGACTGTACACCTTTATGCTCACCGTTGTGGCCCTTTTGAACAGCGACAAATACTGAAAGTGACTTTAATCACTGTATCACTTTGCTTCCTGTTATAATTTTTTCCACTTCTGTATCAGTGATGATGCAGAGGATTTTTTTTTTTGAGTGGGGACATCTGTCGTTCAGGAGGAGACTGCCGCAAGTCCAGGAAACACTGAGTGCCAGTATGAATGGTGACCAAGCTGTGACGACTACACAGTGGGCATGCAACACAATAAATGACCTTAAAAGGGGATTTAGGTGATGTAGGAGAGACGAGCCGTGATGTAGTGACAAGATTATATAGCTTTAAAATTATATAGCACTCTTCTACTTATTCTATTTGAGCATTCAAAACAGCTTGTATTGCATGGCACACTGGCTTCCTTTTTCAGCTCTGGAGATTGCCCCTTGGTCACCCACCACACATCTATTACAATAAGCAGTAAAGAAAATTGGTATCACAAGAAGCAAACCCATGAAACGAAGTTTGTGAACCCAGACGCAGGTTGCCTGGTTAGTAATTTTCCTGTTACATGCAGAGCAATCACAGAAGCCAGCAAAAAAAAAACCTTTTCAAGTTACAAATCGTCTATGAGCAAAATATTAAGATAGAAATGAAGATCTGGAATTCGGCTTTAAGCACTTGTCAAACCAAATCATGTGATCATACATTCAAAACCCTCACTTGCTGCGATGTTCCGGTTTCATAATAACAAGTTACTGATCAAACAGAGACACAGTTACAGACACACAGACAGTTGCTGTCAGAGATCCTGCTCTGGGTCTGTAGGGACAGATTGCACAGGATGTGAGCCAGCCACAGAGACACTGACGGCTTATGATTGGTTTAGGTTTTAAGACAGTGCACAATAGATGAGCACGGTCCCAATTAAAATTTCATCCACTTGCATTTTTTCATTTCGATGGGGAAACACGAAAAAAAATGTTGCACAGCTAAAAAATTCAGACTGAAATTGCATGAGATGGCATTTGTAATCAATCCTCAAGAACAGCAATGGAGTTTGAAACCTGGTACTGGAAGTCTCTCGGCTCTCGTCCTTGTGTGTCTGCAGCCCTTTTTTGGGTTTTTTTTTTTTTGCTTTCTCCTTGTCTGGATGGGGAGAAAAATACAGGCGGAGAAGAATAGGCTTGTCTGCTTGGCTTTCAGAACAAATGAACAGGAGAGCATGTATTGTGAATGAAGGGAGAGAGTTTTGGAGCATGGAGATGAGACTAGAGACAAAGAGCACTTAGTGTACCTTCCGCATGCAGACAGTGCTGTCAGCCGCATACATAAATTCATCTGTTTCACTGCTGTTAGCAACACTCATATATGCGTGTGTGTGTGTGCGTGCGTGCGTGTCTGTGTGCGCAAGAGTTCACGGTAGTAACACTTAACAGGTTGCGCTGCAGTTGTTTGCGAGTTCAAGTTTGCACATATACACAGGTGCCTATACAGAATCGTAGGAGAGACAGCGTGCGTGTTTGTGCGTCCATCCACCACCAGAACCATCCTAAATGTTGCCTTGGCAACAAGCTGACTGAAGTAAATGAGTGTCCCGGCTCTGCTGAGGGATTGTGGGAAAGCAATATGCCAGCGTTCCGCCCCATTAGTTTGACAGACAGCCTGTTTGGCCTATAAGAGGTCAGCTGGCAAGGGCAATCGTATTAGTATTCCATAGGAGAGACTTTTACTCTTATGCCAAGCTACCTGTGAGTGTGTGTTTTCTTATGTGTGGATGTGTTTGTTGAGGGTGGGCAGTTTGAGGTAAAGCTTGTCGTGGCACAGAACAAAAGCAGAGAATGTGTGTTTGTGTGTGCGAGTGTGTGTGTCTGTTTTTGTGCCCTGCTGGAGGTTGCAGGCTCCGCGCCAGGTAAGCATATCGCCAATTATCACTTCACAGTCCCCCTACATCCCCTCCCTCTCTCCCCAAGAGTCAGTCAATACAGAGCCTGCGAGGGAGATGCGATAACACCTAAACTGGTCAGCCGCCTGTTTAACAGGGTAAAGAAGCCAAAACACAAATTTCAATCCTTCCTGTATTCATCCATGCATTTAATCTATTCCTCTCTGGAACCCTGCTTAACATTCATCTCTCCCTTCTTTGTTTTTAGTCTCACCCACTCTTTTCACCTACACACCTTTTATTTATTTATTTTTTTTACACTTGATCCCCTTCCAAAGCCATTTCTTTTTGTCCAACTGTGCTCTTCAGTCTCCCGTCTCGTCGTTCTCCATCTGTGTGTGAGTGTCTCTCCATTCCCCATTGTTTTTTTATTTATTTATTTATTTATTTTTTGTTTGTGCACTCCATCTCTGATTCCCCAAAAGACCGAGCTTCAATAGCAGAAAACAGTGAAGTGATATTTAGTATGATAATCAAGGCTAAATTATGAATTTTGCATGATTTTTTTTTTTTTAGGATGAAAATTAATTTGGCATATTTCATGTTTTCTGTGTTTTTGTGTGTCTAGTGATATAAATGTGTTCCCTGGTTATTGTGTTATAATCGGTTGATGTCTATTGGTTGCATTAGGTGTAGCCAATTAAGACTAATGGTCAAGTAGT